CGGCGGCACAGGTGACCGTGCGCCCCGCGGCCTCGCCCTGCGGCGGAGCCTGCCCGCTGCTCCCTGGGGTCCGCCCTGCCCCGCGCTGCTGCCCACGAATGCCTTCCCTGTTGCCCGTGTCTCCCGTGAAAGAGACGTGTGCCTCCTGTAATAACCCACTGACAGCCTTCTCAGGTTTTATTTCTTGGTCACCGGATTCAGTGTGTTACGCTGCGTTACAGCCGCTCCGCCCGTGCATCAGGCCCTTTGCAAACCTGTGCACGGAGGCGGTGTGGCTCACACACTGAAAGGGAACCTGTGTTCTTTGAATCCCAGGAGCCTTGGTGCCTTCAAATTAAGTAGTTGAGATACCTTGCCATACTGTAGCAAGTGAATATACTTGGCTGCCTGTTAGGACACTTAAAATCTCATAAAATGTCACGAAGAGTCACTTCTGCCTTCTTGTATTATAGTCTTCCTGCTGCAGTAAAAAGTGTTCGTTTTCAATTATTTCATGCTGTTTTGTGAAATATATTCTTGTAAAATAATCTGAGTTTGTGTTTCCTGCAAGCACATTTTGAATTTTGCTAGACAATATACTTCTTGTGACTGTCTACTATGAAACAGTTACAAGATCTGAAAAATAATATGGTTATGAAAGTATTAAAGGGCTTTATTTTAATATTCTCAGTGCTTTTGCAAACACTTGGCTTAGCAAGAGGAAGGGCAAAGTGATGGTGTCCATTGCAGGCTGTAAGTTGTGAAGATTAAAAGAAAGGAGACTCGGGTCTTTGTGTTAAGTAGTAGGGAAGTAAGGGTTACCTGGGCACTAGGACACGGTGCCAGTTATTTAGGTGAGGAACAGTGTCTGACTGAAATGTGCTACCATGGAATTGGTTTAGGAAATAGGCAACTATGTACTTGGAGATACAGAATATGTATGCAGAACAAGACCGATGTAAATATTGTGACAGCAAGTCAAAAGACTTCTATAAAGGAGTATCCTTTAATGAGAAGTCATTGCCTTTGAGCACAAGTTGTCGCTTTGAGTTTGAAATTCACTGTTATTTCCTCAGGTACTTGGTTGCTTTCAGGCTGCATAAAAACCACTGTGTTCTGAGGCAATCAGTAGATTTTTAGGACTAGAAGTGATTTAGAAAATCATGGGTGGCTTCTTTCTGAGGAGATAACCAAAACTGAGCCAAACAGGGCAAGGCAGTTCTCTCCCATACAGCATACAGCTCCCATGTTATCTTGGTTAAAACCATGAATCTCAGTCAACAAGTGGCTGATGTGCCCTCAGGGTCAGTGAGAGACTGGAGTGATCCATCATTTTCTTCTTCCCACGGTAACTCCATACTTTGAGGACTTGTGCAGGAAAGGTGTTCTCTTACTGTGGCATTATTGCCTTTAAATTGTCATATAGTGTAGCAGTGGTGACATAAACATAATGGGTAGTGCTGTATTTTTCCAGACATCAGGATACATAGATGGCTATGCTGTTGATACTAGAATTGATTTTTGTCTTTTATATGCATTTGTTATTTTTTTATTTGGCATTACACAGAAAATAATATTCTGGAGATTAAATACTGAAATTAATAAGCACGGCTTATTTAATGGATTTTCATTTTCCCCCGTTAGAAAGGAACACTGTTCTATGAAGAGGTTGGGTTCTGTGTTGCTGCTTTAACATACTAGCACACCAGCTTTTTAGTAGAGAATGTGCAAAACTGCAAACCAAAAAAATTCAATTTTTTGTAGTAGTTTTGAATTATTCCTACTAATATAATTTGAAACAGCATTGAAACTCTTCTGTAACAAAACCAGTCTGTTTTTTTGGCAGTGACATTACTAATTCACTACCTGCATTGGTTACCAAATGTTAAAAACACATGGAAAGCATTATGAAACTTCACATTTAGAAATAGTTCAGAGATTTGATGTGCTCCTTGTGATCATCTTCACAGGTAAATATTGAATGTTTTCCATGAAAGGTCATATAAAGAGAAAAGAATTTTATTATAAGCTTGGGACAAAATATCTTGTTGGACAAAAAAAATGTAACCGTTAAGTGGAAGGAAGAATAGAATTTTAAAAAGGAGAAAATAGGCTTGTGAAGATGTATATTTATACCAGTTTGGTAATTGAATAAGAATTTTAAATGTGTTCATGAAATGAGATTTGTCATAGGTTAAAATTATCTTTTTATATTATTTGTTAATAGGGGAAGTTGTTTGGAGGACTAATGAAAGAGTTTTACTGTTAGCTCATTGTAGGAATTGGAAAAATACTTATTCTAGATTGGTAGATACAGTCTTACCAGGCAACTGAAAACTCAGTATTACTTTGTTGTGTCCTTTATGGTAGAATATATTGTATAAATTTTTGTGCCTAAAAGAGAGGTTATATTAAATGCAACTTGCAATGCTAAATAGTGTAGAAAATGTGTCCATCATCAGTTCAGAACTGCACATTTTTCTGAATAATCTACTTTAAAAGGTGTAATATAAAATAGTTAAGCATTTGGGGGCGAGGGGGAGGGCAATCAGGAAGTTTCATGTGCTCTGTAGTTACTGAAGTATTTTTTAAAAAAGAAGTTAAAATAAACTTTCCCATACAGGTGTGCTGTTTTCTGGGTCCTCTAAGAAGATAATTTCTAAATTTTACAGTTTTGAGCTACTTGAGGTACATTGTAGCACGTAAATTTTTTCATATCTCTAAATTAATTAGAGATTGTATATACAGATAATTTATTATTTTTATTAATTTTTCAGCACTCTAAGACAACATAACACCAGAATTACGTTAGATTTAAGAAATCTTACTAAATAAGAAAGGGTCTGAACTAACTTTTGTTGAGATTAATGATATGCCTGTTTATGTCAATGCAAGTGCTACTGGCTTTGCTTTTGACCAAAATCATGACTGATTACGTGATGCTTTAAAGCATAAAGTTTTGCCTGAAGAACCTTTCAGAAAATTCTGTTGACCCTTAAAGTTGATTTCTAAGTAAACGTAATTGTAACCATGGAAGAAGTTCTTAAAAAATGTAATTCAAGTTGATGTGAACTGATACTTACTTGAAGATCATTGCCTCCTATGGATTAAAAGAAATGAAAAGGCAACTGTCTGTGCCCTCTGGTGTGAATGTCCCTTCTAATTAGTACTTCTGATCAACCTTTGATTGGAATAAGTACTGACAAAGAACAATACGTTGATTTTTCCTGCAGTCCAGGGGATCCTTCCAATATCCATTCTGGATAAGAATATTTCAGATGGCTGATGTAGTTGATATTGTGTATGCTTTTTGTGTGTGTGTCTTGATTAAACTAATTGCTTAGAGAAACAATAGCAAGTATGAATCTTTTACCAGATCTTGTCATGATTTTTGTTAATTGGTTGTGTTATTGTGGCTTTGATCTCCCCATGTGTTGTGTTAGTGAAAGAAGTTAAAAATCTGCCAAAGCTTCTGCTAATTTAATGGTTATTGTACATTCAGTATGTATTTGGTATGATTATGTTTCCAGAAGAACTTCTCATATAGTCTAGAATTAAACTATTTTAGTATTACCGTTTTTTCAGGAATATTAAAAGAGCTCTGTATTCCTCAGTCCATTATATTAACACTTGAGAATTTTCTCCCCAGGTTTGCATTCACCGTGTTAGATCGTGCAGCAGCATTCGCTTTATAAAATCAAAATATGTGTGCGTGTTTGACAAATCTGCCCTCAAGTTTAGTCATCAGCAACGATTATTCAGAACATCTGCTGGTAATCTTTTTCATAATAAAATAATTTATTTTATTTTGCTACTTTATGGGTGTTATGTTAGTGGTTCATATATGGCTGGTTTGTAGACTATTTCTGATGCTTTCAGATTTTTCTATCTGATACCTTGTATTTAATATTAAACATCCCATATTTCCTTATTGTCTGTTTTAAGTTTCATGTGGCCAAATTGTCCAGTTTAAACTTTCTGACATTGGAGAAGGGATTACGGAGGTGACTGTAAAAGAATGGTAAGCTCTTCTTTCTTAGAAATATACTAAGAAATCAGGAAGCAGTTTAATAGCTGTATGATCAGTTATGTATCTGAGAATGCTTCCTAGTGAAGTTCTTCAAGTTTCATTTTTCACAGTTTAAAGCCTTGTATATACTGAGCTTTGCATTTTGTTTGTTTGCAATCTGTTTATTTAGGAGTGGGAAAGATAGAAGGAATGGGATGCTGCAGCTGTATATAGGCTTTCCTTCAGTGATTAATATCTTTAGAGCACAGGTGGTCTGTCTTTTATTATATTTACTTAAGCTGAACTTTGGAAACAAATGACTAGTGTGGAGAATCCACATAATTTTACCCTATACCCCTTCTCTATTGACTTTAGAAAAAGACTTGAATGTTTCAGTTCTTTGTAAAAAGCCAGTAATTAATGGGTTAAGCAAAATCAAAGTGTACAGTGAAGGAAGGCAGTGTTGAAATGCCCCGTTCTTTGTACAGGTAGGTGAAAACTTCCTTAGATTCCAACTAAGATGCGCTAATTTTAACATGGCTTATAGTCTGTCAAGAAAACTTTACTAAAATAATAGTAAAAATATATGTGTGATGGTATCCTAAAAAAATTGTGTCAGTTCACACAACAAAGGGTTCTGGAACAGTCAGGCCAAAGGAAAATAGCAAATGTATCCATTATATAGAATTTGTCTTCTCATCTGGAATGTGTTTTCATGTTGTGGGGATGTACCTAATGAACTTACCAAAAGAATACACAGCATAGGTTTTGATACTTAATATGTTTTATACTCGCCTGTGTCTTTTCTTTTAGGTACATAAAAGAAGGTGACAGCGTGTCCCAGTTTGATAGCATCTGTGAAGTACAAAGCGATAAAGCTTCTGTTACTATTACTAGTCGGTATGACGGCATCATTAGAAAACTCCATTACAATTTAGATGAAATTGCTTTTGTTGGAAAACCATTAGTGGACATTGAAATTGATGCTTCAAAAGGTACTGTAAGCCCTTTTTTTCCCCTCTTGTGTATTTTATATTTGTTTTCGTAAAAACATTGGTGACAGAGGAGTTTACTTTTTTGTGCTGAAAATCTTAAAACTTAATTATTTTTTCCCCCTTTACAACGCAATAAAATTAAGTAGAAAAAGCTGTGATATGTTACTAGGATTTAAAATCTAAAAAGCTGGAAGTTCCTATGAAAAACTGAGCGTAAGTAGCAGCCTTTAACATGCTGTGTTCCCAGCCATAGTAACTCAAAATCAATCTTAAAAACTTCATCTATCTCAGAATCACAGAACAGTTGGGGTTGAAATATAACAAATGCTTATAATATAGTAAAGTTAATTTTTTTCTTTTTGTTTGTAGGTGTTGCCCCAGAAGAAGATGTTGTTGAAACACCTCCTATGTCTCATGAAGAGCACACTCACCAAGAGATAAAAGGTCATAAAACATTAGCAACCCCTGCAGTTCGTCGTCTGGCCATGGAGAATAACGTAAGTTTGCTGAATTGGGTCCTGCTGCATTTTATCCATCTTTTTATGTAGTGGTTTGACTGACTGGGAAAATGTTCATCTGGAGGAAGATGCAGTGAGAAATTACTTGTTTTCAAAACATTTACATTTCAGAAGTATGAAACCTGTTGTAAAGATGAAGTGGATTGTGCTTTGTGATGATTATGGTGGATAGGAAAAGAATTACTGAGCTTTAAATGCAGCTGGGTTGCTTCAGGCTGGAGATTACAAAAACCTTTTTATAGCAAAAATTATAAAAGTATCAGAATAGATTCCTGGGATAGAGGAAGGAGGAAGAGAAAATGCAATCTCAGCTTTAGCTACCTTGTTCTGTTTTTCAGATTTGTATTCGAGCAGAGGATGTACTAGGTTATCTTCTAAGCTTTTTTCTAACTCTTTTTTTACTATGAATCTATGAATATTGCATTGATTTTGAAAACTTTTGGTGCATTTTTAGGAGAAAAATAAAACAAAAGGTAGAGAAAATTAAGTAACAAATAGCTTTCCTCTAGTTAGTATTTTACTGTTGATCCTATGAGGTAGTTAAGAGGTAAGTAGTATTCCTAGTTCCCCCTTAAAATATGCAGTTAGACACCTAGTGGGCCTTCTGGATTATTTGAACAGTGCTGAGTACCTAATAAGACATAGAATAGGAAAGAAAACTGTAGGTATGTTAGATCAGTAACTGCATAATTTTAAAGGGTAGCTACCAATACAGGGTATTTTTATATTGTTGTGAAAATGAAAGTGTCAAAGCTTGTTATGTACTTTTCAGATTAAATTGAGTGAAGTTGTTGGAACAGGGAAAGATAACAGAATCCTTAAAGAAGACATACTCAATTACTTAGCCAAACAAACGGGAGCTATTCTACCACCCTCACCGAAGGCTGAAATTGTGCCACCTCTGCCAAAATCAGAGACTGTGCCTGCTGCTCTGAAGGAGAAAGCACGCAAAATTCCTGTACCTGTTTCCAGACCCATTGTGTTTTCAGGAAAAGATAAAACTGAACCTGTAACAGGTAAATAATGAAATCTAAAATCTTCACAGTAGGTTACTAGTAAACATTACTCAATGAACAGTTGAATCCTTTTGATGGAAGTGTGTTTCACGTTACTGTCTTGCAAGTGAGGAATAGGAAAACATGCTCTATAAAAAAGGTGTTGCATGATATTATTGTTTTATGAAATGATTGTTCATGTCTTGGTTGGGTGGGATTGAGCTGGAAGTTACACTTGCACGTTTGTGTAGTGTTTCTTCAAATGTATGCTGAAACAGGTAGGCATTCTGAAACACATTCGAATTTGTCACAGTATGAATCATTAAGCAATTACTGGCAAAGTGCAGTAAAGCTAAGGGTTTATCAGTGCTTTATAATGCCATACTTCAGCATTCACACTTTGGGAAAAGAGATTAGCAAAAGACACTAACATAAGAAAAACCACATTATAAGAGGAAGATGAAAGGTTTTTGCTTGCCTTTCAGGCAATGTTTATTTGGAGAGGCACAAAAGAGTGGTGCAGATTACTGTACTATGATTTCAAATACATACGTGCATAGAAGAGATATGAGGTAATATAATCTGAAATACTAAAGTTGTAAAAATTTAGTTATATGTGAGCTTTACCCTGTCCTTTTTTTGTTGTGGTTGTGTATTGGTTTGCTTCAGTTTTTTTAAGTTAAGTGATTTGTTTAATGAAAACAAATAATTGAAATTTCACCATAACTTCCCAGAAGGTTGGTTTAAGAAATTGATGAATGTTTTCCAGGTTTTCAGAAGGCAATGGTAAAGACTATGAGTGCTGCCCTGAAGATACCTCACTTTGGTTATTGTGATGAGATTGATTTGACTCAGCTTGTTCAGCTGCGAGAAGAGCTGAAGCCTCTAGCACAAATCCGTGGGGTTAAACTTTCCTTTATGCCTTTCTTCATAAAGGTGAGATGTGCAGCAGAGCACTCTATGGAGTACTTAGGCTGATTTTGCTGGAATCTGATCACTGTTGTAAGTTGGGAGCTTCTCTCTAGCATCTGAATATTAACAAGCCACAAGAAAAGTCTCAGCTTTTCTTGTTTATTGAACCACTTATGAATTTACTGTTGAAATCATAGTTAGAGTTGTATAATGGAAAAATTATGAAATATTAATGGAGAAGGATAGAGCAAATAAAGTAGTATAAATTATGGGACTAAGCATCACAGAGTGTTTAAATTACACAAACCAAGTTTTGGAAACTCAGTATTTTTTACAAGCTCCATTGTAAGGAACCTCACCAGAAATGCATAATTCAGAGGTCCCTTCCAACCCCTCACATTCTGTGTGATTATTATTGTTATTGTTGTTAGATTTTTTTTTGGTAATGAACCTCTCAGGTGGATTAGAATGTCTTATCTGTTGTTTGGGAGACCAGGCACTTGCACTCATTTAGTTACCATGGTTCCATTTCCAACTGTTGGCATCACTGAAAGCAGATGCACTGCCTGACCTACTCATAAAATGCATAGCTTAGTCTGAAACTTCTAGTACTGCTGTTTCCATCAGAGTGCTAGGTAAGCACTCATTCTGCTCACTCTCTATAAGGGGGAATTAATATTATTTCCTTGAAATAGTTGTCATTGAAGTGGAGAGCTGAGAATGCCATTGCTGCTGAATCTCCTAACTTTTTTCTTGGGTATTTGATTTGAATTGTGGAACAGAAATAAAAATTCAGATTCAATAATACTTGGGAAAGGGATTATCACTTTTTAAATGTCTGTCTGATGTATATTTGTTTTTTATATAAGTAGTCTTTTTTTTTTCTGCTCTCCTAATAATGACAGAATATTATCAGACAAGCTTAGGAGAGTTGAAGCCAAATTTGATTGCATTGAGAAAATCCGTATTGTTGTTAATCTAAATTGTCTCTTGCTATTCCTTCGTTTTAATGCATCTCTCTGCTTATAAAATATAAAAAAGCTTTCTTTCTTTCTTTCTTTTTTTCCCTTTTATATTTAACAGGCAGCCTCTCTGGGACTACTGCAGTATCCTATTCTTAATGCTTCTTTGGATGAAAGCTGTCAAAATGTCACATATAAGGTTTGTAAACTACTGATAAAAGTTGTGATCAGAAAACCTAACGTAACCTAACAGCTAACAAGGGCTTTTCAGAATGTTTGAGATAATTGTAAGAACCAAAGTTACAGTGTTGTGCTGGAAAATAATTTGTGTCCACATTTTAAGATTGGATTTAATTTACTGTTGATCTTATTTCAGTAGTTTGTTTAATGAGAGTCATTTTATTATTCAGACTTGCCTCAAAAAAAGCGTATTAATATAATGATTTCCTGTTTTTTACCTGAAGATGGGACAGGCATTTAAAATGAGAACATTTAAAATTTAATGCAGTAATTTAAAAGTAATGGCACAGTGATTTCACTGTTCCAGCACTCGTGTATTGAAGTCATATTTTAAACTCAGTTTTGATAAAAATTATTTATTTTTGGTACATGGTACTGAGTTGATACTTCTGGGCAGCGAATGTCTGTTTTCTTAAGTGATGTGTACATACTCCTTGCAATAAAAACTCCTTTTATGCTGTTTTATCAGTATTTTTCAGATGAATCCATATATATTCCTTCTAGCAAATGAAGGGCAACTCAGTTTCCTTTTTTTTTGAATTTTGGTGTTCTCTTTAAAATCCGCTAGTAATATTTTATTACTCATATAATAATTCTAAAGTGAAGTATTTTCCATGCAAAATTGATTCCAGGATTTTGTATTTCCTGAGTGCACAGTTGCCAAAATCAGTTTGGCACTTTGTTGATGTGGAAAGTTAATACTTAAAATTTACATCCCCTTCTCCCCTCAGAATTGTATAGAGGAGTTGCTTACTACAGACAACACTTTCTAGGTTAAAATAATATATAGAAAGGACATTATTCAAGTGATTTTTTAATGTAAAATACATTTTATGTTACTGCTTGTGGTAATGTCTGGTTAATGAAACTTGTTGCAGGCTTCGCACAATATTGGAGTTGCAATGGACACAGAGCAAGGTTTAATTGTCCCCAATGTGAAAAATGTTCAAGTCTGTAGTGTGTTTGAAATTGCCTCTGAATTAAATCGCCTACAGACCTTGGGCTCTGCAGGCCAACTGGGAACAAATGACCTCACGGGGGGAACATTCACCCTTTCGAATATTGGCACAGTAAGTAGAGGAAAAGTGAGAATTAACATCTGAAAACCACTTCTGAAATTACTACATTTTTAAAGTTTAATATGCGGTGAACAAAACCTGTAGCAAATGGATGGAAGAGACGGGAAGAAGAAGGAAGGGGCTTGACTTCTGTAATCCCTGAGTTTATACGAAGTATTAGGTACATATATGTATGAAATAACTCTGGCCAGTTTTACCGTCCCTCTAGTCCGCTCCTTCCTGCGGGTGGGTTTAGATTCGACTCTTTTGCTCCCTTGGTGTTAGAAACAGTAGTTTGAACAAGCAAAGCAAAGTGTCCTTGGTCTCTCAGCAGTATCATAAACATCCAGGCATTATCACTCCACTAGCTATAAAACTTGTGTGCTGCTTAAAAAGAGAGTTCACTGAAGAAAAAATAATCAGTAAAAGGAAAATTCGCTTCATTCTGGCTCAAACTAGGACAAGCAATGCAAATGGCCATCTGCTTAAAAAAATAAATTATTTGTTAACTAACATCCCCATCTTTTTCTTTTCTAGATTGGTGGCACTTACGCCAAACCAGTGATACTACCTCCTGAAGTAGCTATTGGAGCACTTGGAAAGATACAGGTATATTACCTATCCCAGTGGTGTGAGTGTTTATTTAACTAAGGTTATCTGTAAAGAAAATGAAATGTGGAGTGACCCTTTGTTTTTTTATATAAACATTTCCCCTTTATGTTACACAAATGGCATAGCTTGTGATTGAAGAGTTTTGCTGTGTTTTCAGATGAATGTGCAGAGATACCAAATGTTTAAATAGTAGTCTCTGTTGCTCAAGGGTTCAGGGTTGTGGTTTTTTTCTAGAGTCCTGTTATATTTCACTCATATCTCTGTTTAGCCTTCTAGTTATTAAGGAAGAATGTAAGTATATTTTTGCAAGTTTTGCAGCATGGCAATAGCATTTTTGCTGTCACCAAGGAGAAAAGATGAGACTAAAAAAACATACTGATAAGTTTAATTTCATGACCCAGATAGCTGAGTCCATACAGAACTCTCTGTATGATAAAGGCAGTTCCATATTTTCTGAATTTCAGGCTTTAATTCTTTAATATAGACATTTGAGATGAATGCTGGAAATGAAATTAGCATTAATTTAAAATACATTTTTATGTTCATCCCATGAACCTCTTGTTTAGGGAATGGTTTAAGGAATCTGTCACTTTAAGCACTAAGGTGCCATTCCTATTCAGGAAGAAACTTTTGGGTCAAGAATGGTGTTCACTGCTGCAGTATTTCCATGATGGTGGAAGCAGACTTTTTATTATGTAGGTTTCCAATATATTCTAATCTGCTGCACAAACAATAATGGGAAGGTGTTTTTTGAAGGGAACTACTGCTGTCTGTCTCATTTAGCAGAATGTTTAAATTTAGATTTAAAAATGATCAATTAAAAATACAGATTTGTTAATTAAAGTATTTATAATGTGTTGGGCTTTTGTTTCCTTCCTCTGATTTTTAGGTTCTTCCTCGATTTAATGGAAAAGGTGAAGTATATAAAGCACAGGTAATGAATGTGAGTTGGTCAGCTGATCACCGCATCATTGACGGAGCTACAATGGCCCGGTTTTCTAACTTGTGGAAATCTTACTTGGAGAACCCTGCTTCGATGCTGCTAGACCTTAAATAAAGGAAACCATGGCTAGAATATGCCTTTAAACTTTGTGGTTTAGACTGAATGACTATAAAAGCTGGCTCTGCTAGCACGTGCTCTTTGCTACTCACATCATATAATAGTTTTATGTGGTTAAAAGTTCTCAGCAGCTGGTATCAATTAATTGTTACTTCTTCTAATTAGTAATGCTGTAATTTCTTCTACAGCAGACTGTCATACTTAATAGGTCATGGTGTGACTTCTGAACATGCCGATGGAATGTCTTCATTTTGCCTTTTATAATATGTGTGGTTGTGAGTCTGGTGTGACTGAATGACACTGATCTGCATCTGCAGTATTTATAATCAAATTAATCAGTTTTGAAGGTTTTGAAATACTCATAGTTCTTCCTTGTTGGACACACACATTTATTCTAAAAAATAATATCCAAAATTCCCAAAAGAAGTTATGCAAAAATCATATACAAATAAAATGCCTTTTAAGCTTCTGCTGTAAGATGTCTAGAGGGCTTTTTGTTGTTTAACGAGTAAATCTCTCAAGTCTTTTGTTAGTCCACTTTTTCCTGGCCATTACTTGCACAGGTGCTCTTTATCAAATTATAAATGAAGAGGCCCTATTTATTAAAATGGTTACTGATAACATTTATAGACAACTGTCAGAGCCAAATACTCTCTAGAATATCCTATGTTTTTATAGGCTGGAAGTAGTTGCAGCTCTTAAATACTTTCGAGTTATTTTTGTTTCTTATAGAAATCATCTGTCTTAAAAAATAAAAAGAAAGAAAGGAAAGAAAAAAAAAAAAAAGGAGGATCTCATTTGTTATTCTGTCATTAGGTAAGCCTGACAGTAAGCAGAAAGTGTTCTAAAAACTTGCACAGCTTTGTTTTACTGATGTTCAGATACTAGAATTTGACAGATTAATCAGATACAACTAGGAATTCACATGAAAAAAATGCTGTATGAGATAATGACTTTTTAGCCTCAGATAAAAGGCACATAATGAATAGATACAAGTTAATGACTTCAGAACAGAAAACAGTTACTTGGCTTTAAGGTAAACTAAACAGATTATGAGGATTGCACTGATTTTTTTAACTGGAGATCTAAAGAAAACTGTTGCATATAAATACCTTATAGAAATAAAAGCTGCAAACAGACACAAGGAGTGACAGTTACATAGCCCTAAAAATTAGTTTGTGAGACATGAAGTGGATGTTTTAATCTTTCTTTAGGTATATCAAAAACTGCTTCTACAGGAGTATTTTCCAAAACTGTAGACCAAAGTTGTCTGTTGCATTTAGCTGTGAAGATACAAGGCACAAGCTACCAGAGGTAGAATCTCTGCTGTCCTTGATGCTGAGACTGAGCAAGAGGAAGGCTGGTAATGTAGAGGAGGGAGCATGAGAGCATACATGCAAGGTGCTTTTTATATTTCTATTGTGGTGTAAGGGTCTTTTTTATACAGGTCATTGCTTGCAAAGTTTAGCTAATATATCATGCATATCACCTATTTCATTTTTATCAGATTTAAATAAAAATAAAAAAAAATAAGTCACAAAAAATTGTAGTATTGCTTTTATTTGTGAATTTTGTATAGGCAATCATGTACATGTGACTCAAATTTATATTTCTACTTATTGTCAAGAATCTACTGCACTCAAGACTACTAAAAGAACACAGCCTACTGGCTACTTCCCTACAATTATATTGTTATGGTAAGGGCTGAGCTTGAATAGTGTATTCTTTAATCTGATGTCCATGGAAATAAATAAATTGAGGAAATACAAATGTATGATAGAAAGCAACAATGTGATTTTTAAATATTTCAGACAGAATTATTTTGCTGACACGAGGAGCCTGAAATTTGACTCTCAAAACTCCAGTAAAAAGGAAAGTAGGTTGTTGGGTTTTTTCCTGGCTCTAATTATGTGTCTCTTTTGAGGAGGAAGAAATTAATCGTTTGATTTTGGTTATTACTTTTTTGGATCAAGAAAAAACATTGATTAAAAAACACTGTCGGTGTTGAATATATACTGTAACTGAAAGAAGAAACACCTATACCAAAGAACTTGTTGGATCACTTTTACTTTTGCATAACTTTTTAAAACAAAACAAAATGCTTAGAAGATTGAAAGCTAAAGCACTTAATGTCTTTAAATTGGCACTGGTGTTCATGTAGATAGTTGGTTATGGACTGGAGAAGGGTTTTTTGGTGATTAAAGTTCTGTGTAGTAATGCTAGAATCCGAGACTAATAATGAGGAAAAGCTATTTCTACGGAAAGAGGGTTATAACCAAGTGAATAATATTTTTTTAAATCTCATCCTCATGTTTTATACTTTACTGCAAGAATTGGTTAGAATTACCCAGCTTTGTGGCTTCTGCCTCAAACAATGATCTATGATTATTGCTGTCTCTCCATTTGGTGAAAGAAAAGATGCTGACTAAGTTGTTCTCCTTTTATCTTCTCTAAGGGCTCTTTGAAGAAATAGAATATTAAAGTTATGGAGCAGATCATGTGTTATGGAGCAGATCATCTTGAGTGCCATTATGCAGCATGTGTGGAACAACCAGGTGATCAGGCCCAGTCAGCATCGGTTTATGAAAGGCAGGTCCTGCTTGACAGACCTAATCTCCTCTTGTGACAGGGTGACCCATGTATTGGCTGAGGGGAAGGGCTGTGGATGTCATTTACCTGGACATTAGAAGAGCTGTTGACATTGTTTGTCACAGCATTCCCCTGGAGAAAATGGCTATATAGGGCCTAGACCAGTGCACACTTCACTGATTAAAATCTCACTGGATGACCAGGCCCATAGAGTTCTGGTGAATGGAGTTAAATCCAGATGGTGGACAGTCACAAGTGGTGTTCCCCAGGGACCTCAGTATTGGGGCCAGTCCTCTCTGATATCTTTATCAGTGATCTGGACAAGGGGATCAAATGCACCCTCGGTCAGTTTGCAGATGACACTAAGTTGGGAGCCTGAAGATAGGAAGGCTCTGCAGAGGGACCTGGACAGGCTGGATCTATGGACCAAGGCCATTTGTATGAGGGTCAACAAGGCCAAGTGCCAGGTCCTGCGTTTTGGTCAAAACAACCTCAGGCAACACTACAGGCTTGGGGAGGAGCAGCTGGAAAGCTGCCCAGCAGAAAAGGATCTGAGTATGTTGATTGACAGCTGGATGAACTTGAGCTAGCAGTATGCCCAGACTAAAGGCATCCTGGCCTGCATCAGGATTAGTTTGGCCAGCAGAAGCAGGGAAGTGATTGTCCCCTTGTACTCTGCACGGGTGAGGCTGCACCTTGAGTACTGTGTGCAGTTTTGGGCCCCTCACTACAACGAGGACATTGAGGTGCTGGAGTGAGTCCAGAGAAGGGCAAAAAAGCTGGTGCAGGGTCTAGAGCACAAGTTTTATGAGGAGCGGCTGAGGAAACTGGAGTTGTTTAGCCTGGAGAAGAAGAGGCTGAGGGGGAGACCTTATTGCTCTCTACAACCTCCTTTCAGGAAGTTGTAGCAAGGTGGGGTTTGGTCTCTTAGTAACAAGCAATAGGAAGTGGACTCAAGTTACACCAGGGAGGTTTAGAATAGATACTAAAAGAAACTTCTTAATTAAAAGGATAATTAAACACTTGAGTAGGCTGCCCGAGGAGGTGATGGAATCATTATCCCTGGAGGTGTTTAAAAGATACATAGATGTGGTGCTTAGGAACATGGTTTAAGCACTGGACTTGGTAGAGTTAATAGTTGGTAGAGTTAGGTTATGGTTGAACTCGATGACTTTAGAGGTCTTTTCCAACCAAAAGGGTTCTGGGATTCTGTGAAAAATGTTTCATGATTGGAAACATGAAAAGGGGTGAGTAATAACCCCTCTGCACATCCTGATAAAGATTGCTTTTCTGTCTTGACTTTCATAATTTGCACTAATATTCTTCAACAAGAAAATTTTTCAGCGTGGGAAAAAGTAATGAGTAAAAAAACTTCCCAATATAATGCTTTTTCTGGTCTAATTAGTCAATCTTGCTATTTCATAGCACTTTGAAGCTCAGTTATTTTGCAGAGAAACATTACTAGAGTACAAGAAGTAACTGTCATTTAGAATTCATAACTAGTTTGTTTTTCACTGTGGACTGTAAAAGTACTCCTTTGTTCTTTTTGTTCATAATTTGTTACTTTTATGTCCTGGTTTGAGGGAGTCCAGGAGTTCATGGGTGTACAGTTTTGTTCAGCAAACTGGAAAGACTTCAGGAGTCGTAAATGCTTGGGGGTTTTGCAGAAGTGCCTCATGTGATACCTTCTATTCTCAGCACAGGTTAAAATTAGAACTAGACTGACAGTGCATTGGAGTCTGAGAGAGGGTTCTATATGGTTTTGGTAGTACAGACAAAATGTGTAATTTATCTCTGCTTTTACCCGGAAAGCAGCGAGTCACAGGGAATCCTTGAAAACACCAAATAATGGAGGTAGGTTGTTAAACTGTTTCAGATGCTTGGAGATGAAGTTGCTGGGAGATCAGATTACTTGGGAGTAAATTTGCAGTTGTTTTACAGCTATTCTTGGGAATTAATTTCTGAGTTTTTGGCCATCAAGGCATGATTGTTATGGTTTTTGTTTTCCTAATAAATAATAAGACGTAAGAACAAGTAGCTTTTCATACTAGTCCTGTTGTTATATGGTTGAATCTCCTTGAAAACAAAGTCATATGCTTAGGCCTTCTTTCACATTCGATGGTTCTGAAACAGTATTTAATTAAAAATATATTTTCCACAGCAAAAGAGAGTTGCTTAATGTAAGCTTTATTAAAAATAAGTAGTTTCAACTGTATAACCTGATGCTGATTTTAGTAGTACAAATATTAACAAATGTCTCTTTTTTTGCACAGTTTCTATAAAAAAGTTTTATAGTTTTCTACCTAAAAAGGCTTCTTGTTCAAAAAAATGTCTCTAAACAAGAATCAATAGATCAGGTAAATCACTGAATCTCAGAAGTTTAATCCTGAGAAATAATAAATTAAAATTGTAGCCATAAATCAGAGCAAAAAAAAACAACATATAATGTCTTTGCCATTACTGTAGCATATTGGGATGAGGAGTGGGAAAGGTGATTACTATAAGGACCACTGAAAGATAAGTTAATCCTTCAAATTAGCAAATACTATTGCATTTATGGGAGGAAGGGAAAGA